GTCCTCGTGAGGACAGACAATACGACCACAATATCGTATATTAACCGCCAAGGGGGTTTGCGTTCTCTCCAGTTACACACACTGGCGCGCAAACTTATCCTCTGGAGCGGTAGGCGTCTCCTCTCTCTGAGAGCGACGCACGTACCGGGAGTGAGGAACCTCGGGGCAGATCTACTGTCCAGAGGTATACCACTTTATGCAGACTGGACTCTACATCCAAGGATTGTGAGCCAGCTGTGGGTGCGTTACGGCAGAGCCGCGGTGGATCTGTTCGCATCGAAAGACAACGCTCAGTGTCAGCTGTTCTTTTCGATGCGCGATCTAAATGCACCGTTAGGCGTGGATGCACTCGCGCACAATGGGCCCCCGGGCCTTCTGTACGCGTTCCCACCCCTGGCTCTGATACCCCCAACTCTGGCCAGAGTGAGAGAGCAACGCCACACACTTATCCTGATAGCTCTGCACTGGCCAGCTATGTACTGGCCAGCGGAGATATATCAGCTGCTGTGCAGGCCGCCATGGCAGCTCCCACTACGCAGGGACATACTGTCCCAAGCGGGGGGGGCGTTCTTTCACCCACACCCAGAGCGCTTGGCTCTATGGGCCTGGCCCGTGAGTGGTACAATCTGAATACAGTGTGACATGACGCTGACCCTGGCAGCTGCCAAGCGAGCCAGTGGCACTCATGCACTATCTGTACAGTTTTCATGCACTCAGTTTGCCCCAGGGCAAACAGAGTGTGGTTGAAGCCCAACCCTGCCTTTATCTTAAGGCGGTCGGTTCAGGTACCACATTTGACATTAAGGCATCCTCCCCGCCACTGTATTCCTCCGGGGAACAGCGGCCGGATTTGCCGTGTCCAGCCCGTGCTTTACGCACGTACAGGGACAGATCAAGGGTGCTTTGTCATAATGACCAACCCCTTGTGTCCTGGGCTAACCCTTATAAGGGCAAGCCTGTTACTAAGCAACGGCTCTCCCACTGGTCTGTGGAAGCAATTGCTTTGGGGCTCATACGAGTCAGAGTTCGCAGGCACCCTCGGGTCCGCGAGCTCTTTCGACTCAGAGTCTGGCTGCATTCTGGACTCTGTCCAGGATGTCTCCCATCAAAGACATTGGTGCAGCGGCGAGCTGGTCCTCGCCGCTCACTTTTGTCTGCCTCCTAACAGGCTGGACGTTCTGCTCCCAGTGTGACTCAAGCAGTGCTGGGCACCTGGTTGAGTCAGAGCTCTACCTGTTAAGTTCTGGTTGGTTTGGTGATTTTCGAGATAAGCTCGTCTGGCAATACGGGAGCTACAATTTCCCATAGTGAGACATCGAACGGAGTGTTATGAATGAGAACTATAGGTTACTTACGTAACCCCAGTTCTCAGAGTAACTTGAAGTGAGATGTCTCACCAGACGGCCCTCCTTGCTATGGTGAAGCGAGAAGAGGTGCTTATTTTGAATGGCACATGCGTCGTGGCGCAAGCTACTTATAGGGGGTGATTTCCCTGACGCTGACGTCAAGATCTCCAGCCAATCAGGATTGGCGTAATGAGATTGATGCTTCTGTTTGCTCCGCGATGAGGCGCATCCCATAGTGAGACATCTCACTTCATGTTACTCTGAGAACGGGGGTTACGTAAGTAACCTATAGTTTTTGACCCTAAGAAACACTGATGCATTAATCAATAACAATAGTCCACAGCTCCTCTCTCTGCTTCAGAGGATTTAAAACATATATATCCCTATGCCACCTCGCTCATGAGTAGCTTGTTTTGCTCGCTAGAATATTGACCCAATTCTGGCTCCATGATGGGACCTTTAATACAATACTGCTGTGGTCGTATTATCAACATACATTTCCACTGACAGTCAATACATCGTAATCAATTCACACACACACACACACACACACACACACACACACACACCACACACACACACACACACACACACACACACACACACACACACACACACACACACACACACACACACACACACACACACACACACACACACACACACACACACACACACACACACACACACACACACACACACACACACACACACACACACACACACACCAGGAAGACTCAACAACACAGCACAGAATTAAACAAAATAGCTATTTCCCACCCTTGCAGTCGCAAACTCTCCAGGCGATAGCCATGTCCAAAACACAGTTTTCTCCAGGAATACACGGACATTGCGACGGTATTTCACCTTCTGAATCTGGTCCTCTCCCGTCTTGTTCTGTTGGCGAAAAAATATATTTGTTCAGAGCACATGACAGGTCAAATGTGTTTCCAAAATGTGTTTACACCTGTCCAGGTGACCAGCTCAAGCTAGCTCTGCTCTAAAAGCGATGAGAGACCCTTCACGTTGCTTTAAACTTGTTTTGAAAAGTTTAATTCTTAGCTTTAAATTAAGTAATTTAAGTAAGAAATAAAGTTAAAGTTACTTTTATCATGGTTGCTTGTATTACCTTTCATCCACTTCTTCTTTTACTCACATCTGTCATCTGGGTTGGGTGAGCACAGCTATTAGCTAGCTGTCATGCTCCTGCGCAGTTTAATTTAATTACCTCCTGTCAATTAAACTAATGTAGATAACCTTACAGCTCATAATACCCGGATACGTCTATTTCTGTAGCGTTTCTTTCGTTTTGTAAAATCACAAAATACTGATAGGCTATAGCCAAAATAACGCAGTGTTCAAACAGTACAAGGGCAATGCATCAAGCTGAACTGCAGACTCTTCCTGCAAATGAGGAAATTGCACAGCTGCAATGTGCAGTTCCAATTAGCATGGTCGTTCCCTCGTTTCTTTGTTTTGTCTGCTAATAGCAAGCATATTAACAGTTGCATTCACTGAGGACAATTGTACATTATAACATTCAGGATAACAAGCATGGACATGTTAATTATGAGTAGCTGTAAGAATTGTTATGTTATATGGAGATAAGAAAGTGGAAAGGCAGGCAATATGTATTGACTTTCTGCTGTAAAAATATAATCTTCACCAAGTGTCCCCAATAAAAAATAATATTGCTTTACCTGCCCCACTTTCCTATCTATCTGAGTAAATACAGAGTTTAGTTTGTATTTAGTATTATTGCCAGGTTATTATTGTGGACAATAGCCTACATAATCAAATTGTGTGCTCATTGCATAAAATGTTATGGGAGCTATAGTCACCCAACAAGGGGCATGCACCAACAATAATGTTCGCACATTTGAATGGCAATGAATAATGCACCATGGGTGAGAATATCATAATGCGGTGCTACGCTTGTGTGAACTGGGAAATTTGAACTGAATCACCAATTACTCCCAATGTGTTTTTGCTAGTGTCTGCGTGTCTTGGGTTATTTTTTAACTGTAGTCTAGCCTATGGAGAATTGTTTGCAGCATCTCAAATTTCCTTATTCTCTCCCTGGTTGCAATTACCATTGAATTTCACAGGAAATGTGTCCATGTGAAAATGATAGACTAATCTTTATGTGTGGGGAAAACAACAATAAAGGCTGAATTATTCAAAAATAGTGTAATTCAGTGATTCACTTAGCCATTAGTGAGTGCTAGGCGGTGGCTAAAAAGATGGTGTTTATGGATAAGTAAACTGGAAAAAGAGAAACTGCCTTTATAAGCCGTAAAGTGTTCCGCGTTGGAACTGAACATTGTCATTGCACATGAATGGTGAACCATTAGTGGCCCAATATAGTTGTACTACCAAGGCTTCTTAGAATATGATTGCAGGAGAGAAATTGTTTCTGAATTTTGTTATTATTATTAAGTCAGCAAACTGACACCCACACAGTTTCCCTAAAGTCAATCATAAAGTGTAGAATATTACATTAGAAGAATTTCCATGCATGATATGAAAGCTTTTCTGAAAGACAAAAAATAACCATGTTATCTGGAGCTAGCATGTCACAATACATTTAGCCAATATCCAAAGCAACTTACATTTAGTGCAAGAAGATGCAAACTCAAAAAGTAAGAATCCTACAAGTACAGTCACTTTTAATAAGTTAATTCTAAGTGATAAAGAGGTAAAGAGGGCATTTCTTTATTTTTATATTTTATTCGGCCAAGGTCGAGTAGAATCAGGTTTTCAGTTTGTATTTTTTGCTGTCCTGGTTTCAATAAGGAGCAGGTTCCAACATTTTGGAGCGAGGATAGCAAATAAGCGTGACTTTGTTAAAATGTATACTCCCACTCGCGTGTTCTCTATTTAGCATGGTTACTTTATATTCCTCTGCTACAGTGCTTTAAATATCTGTTCTTGTCACCTGGAATAAGACTCCTGTTCAACAGAAATTCCCATGTTATTGATAAGAAGGCAGAAATCCATATCCATATATGGTGATGATTACATTGCATTAGAGCCCTTAAATATTTAAAAGGATTTGAGTTGTACGACTGATCTCCCCGGGGGAGGTAAACATAACTATGTCAATAGGCTTTCTGCCACCATCCCTGAATGTGTTTGTCTTGCACAAAGCACAGAGAGTGGCTGGTCCTGGATCTATATTAACAAAGATGTTCTTTGGCTGTTGAGTGTTGATATTACAACTGTCCCGAGAGTCATCTGGTCACAGACCTCCGCTGCCAGGTGAAGTATTAAAAATAGTTCTTGTGGAGTATTTGCCTGAGGTTTACAGTCTGATCTATCAACATTTTAGAGCATGCATGAATAGAAACGGGTCCAGGATAGATAGAAGAGTTATCACCACAGTGTAATTGCACAGAGAGAATACATAATTTATGAGAGATTTAGCCTCATTAATCTGTGAAACTCTCTGAAAGTACGATCATTTTATTTTTCTCATACTTAGTGTTTTGCAGCTCTTTGCCAAGACATGAATTTGCTCTTTGATGCACAGTCAGTTTCCTTGACACACTTTGTGAAATAGTGTTCTTTGACAGTTCTTCCCTAGTGCTTGCAATGAATCATTATGTGCCAATGTTTTCACTCAACCTGTCTTATTCTTCTTTTGTCTTGCAGCTGCACACTGACCTCGATAGTGGGGACAGTGGTGTGAAGTACACTCTCTCGGGAGACGGGGCTGGCTCTATTTTCACAATTGACCAAACAACAGGGGATATCCATGCCTTAAGGAGCCTTGACAGGGAGGAGAAGCCTTACTACACCCTACGCGCCCAGGCTGTTGACATCGACACCAATAGGCCCCTCGAGCCTGAGTCAGAATTTGTAATTAAGGTTCAAGATATCAACGACAATGAGCCAAAATTCCTGGAGGGTCCATATACAGCCAGTGTCCCTGAGATGTCACCAGTAGGTCAGTAACCATCCACATATATGTATTCTGTTCATCAAAGATAGAGACGCTTACTTGTTTAGACTCCTTTGCCCTGAACGTTTTATTTTCTCCTCTTTAACCACAACACAAACGTTTCCACAGCATCACAGATACAACCAGGGGGGTAAAGAGGCTCCCCTCAGATTTTGACATTTCCGAGAACCAGTTATTCTTGGTGTGCCCTGAGTGTATTTCACAGCTCTGTCTTTACACATCCCCCCTCCTCTGGGACACAGATCAAGGTAATTCGCTGGGATAATGGTTCCTCTTGATCTGAATCGCAATGAATCCCTCAAAACTCCCAAATCATCAGTCTCTAGGGAACAGGGAAGAAGGAAAAACAACAAAGTCTGGTCCCAGTGAAGCCTCAAAATCATAAACTGCTCTGAAATAATTTACCGAAGAATCAGAGAAGCTTTCAAGCGAATCAAAAACACATACTGTAGAGTACAGGGATTATGTAAAAAAATATATCAACAAAATATATTAAGGAGATCCTTTATTAGATAGTTGACAAAAAGCTTAGTAACTTCCATGTAGGTAATCTTATTAATATTGTTATGCACATTTTACCAACATTGAAACAAATAGCTTTTGAGAAAGAATATTTTAAAAATGAATTATAAGTTCTTAAAAAAAATAAACAATAAAGATCGAATATGAAAAAGTCACTGCAAGGCAAGGCAAGTGTATTTATATAGTACATTTCAACATAAGTGCTTTACAAAAATGAAAGACATTAAGAGCATTAAAGGTAGGGTAGGTAATTCACTTCAGAAACACTTGTTATATTCCATGGAATGCTCTTAACATCCCGATAGCAATGAATAAATTAAATGCTTTGACAATAAATATAGACAAATATTTAATCTGTGGAAGCTGTGGCGCTGTAAAAAGCAAGTCCAATCATCTCGTGCACAAATTTATCTCGTGCCCTCATTGGTCATGTGCACGTTCGTGTGTGTTGGAGGAGGGGCTCTGTAAGGAAGTCTGAAGGAAGGGGCAGATTATTTTCGGTTGTGTACTTTCAAATTCTAGCGCACTCGAGCTGGTTTCTCCATTCTTACCTACCCTACCTTTAAGAAACATATTATGAAATGACATTTAAAAACACTCGTTTAAAAGCAACGACATCAAATGGCATTTCAAAACACTAATTTAAAAGACTAACACATTAAACAATATGTCATGAAAGCCATGGCAACAATATCAAATCATTTAAAATGCAAAAGCTCTTGTGTAGTGTTACAGGAAAATCTGTTAAAAAACAACACTAATGGATAATGGGTTCAGAAATATTGTGTACCCTCTCCCATAACTGTTAAAACCTTAAAATCACAAGTGGCAATGATGAGTGTTGCCAAATGATGCAGAGTGACACCATTATCAGAAATATCTTAGCCGAAAGTGCACTTGTGAGTTTAAAACAGCACGCCACAATTGGTGTTGAGTAAATATTTACCGCCAGTGCAAAAAAGAATCATCAAACCAACTAAATGTTATTCTCAATATTTATACCAGCAAGAAATGTGTGATCAATGGCTTCATTAACTGTTACATCCCTCGTGTTGTCTTTATCTCCCTTCAGACGTTTTTATGTTAGTGGAAAACAAAAGTAAAAGAGAGATGCTTAACATTAATTTGCAATAATGCTTTGTAATGAAGACCAATCAATGGCCAGACATTAGGATATCACTCAAGGCAAACCAGAGACTCCCTTCGACTTACAAGCAATTCAATTGTCCGTGAATCATTAATAAAGTGACAGATGTACGGGTTAAATTAAAACATTTAATCACCACCAAATGTCTTAGACTCGATGAATTTGTCTCCAAATATTAAAAAAAATCTATATTAAAAGATTGTTTTTGTCTCGCCGTGATGAGATAATACAACTGAATATAGAGAGGAGGGGGGAGAGAGGGGACCACTTGCAGCAAAGAACTGTTGGTCATACAAATCCTGAACCAAACATTTCAAAAAGTTGACATAACAAATTACATAGAACTCACAGAAGTCATTTATTGTATCAGTTTAATGATCTTTTTTTTCTCGTACAAATTAGACATTCAATATAGTTCCGTATTCATTTGTTTAATCTGCATTGTATTGTATTACAGTTATTTGTTTAGAATTGTGATGTAAAATATATTTAACTGAGATCTTTATTTTGCAAAACTCTGCATGCTCCTCCAGTGTCATAGTACTCTGCTGGGAGTCCCAGCAGCTTCTACTGAAGCTGTGTGAAAGCGGCTGATTAACTTTTGGATCAAATTCTTCCACTTAGTTATTTCTTGCAATCCTTATTTTCCATAATTGCAGGAACATCATTTATTTGGCTTGCTGTCGTCTCACACCTAGAGTAATAGCTGTTGATTTTTCACCACTGTAAATTGGTGTTACAACACTATGCAGTCGACCTCTGGTAATCAGGCATGTGTGGCTTTGTTAGTAAGGATAGAGACACTAATCTCTCTCACCTAATGTTTTAATGCCATTGTTACCATCTGCTCAGACTGCAAAGCCTATTTATTATACTGCAAGTTCTTACAGGGAAGCTTAGCAGAATTTAGACTATGTAAATGTCCTCCCTTTTGGTCAGTGTCTACTATTTATATAAACGTTCCACAATCCTGCAGCTGACAACTTTTACCACAGCATGTTTTGAACACAGCAAGGTTTGAGTGATGTATGGAAATATGTTCACTGAGCTGTCCATGTTCACCTGTCTATCAAAAAAATCTGCTCAAGAAACATCAGCCTTGTTTTTTTAGAGTTAGTCAGGCTGACAAGGCATTTTTAATTATCCCCAAAATGGTTGAACAACATGGAATTTGAATATTAAATAAGGACCATGTGCAATGCCAGCTAGTTAAGGAGGATGAGCCGAGCCTCCAACAAGTAATTATTCCGTCTCTCTGACTGTAGGAGTTTGGAAGACTGCCATACTAATACTATTCTTGCCATGGCCCTTTTGTTTACTTAATTGTAGTAGTTTTTTATGAATGGTCACACAAGAGATTTCTTTTTTTGTACCCTTGCTTTAATTATTCAAATACGGCCCACTTAGTAATGCTACAAATATTATAAACCAAGCAGCAACTTCCAATGCCAAAATGTACTTAGTTTATTTAAAAGTGGGTCGTGTACAGTTTAAAACAAAACATTTCCCAAAAAAGGATGCCAACATGGTGCTTTGTGTCATTGGCCATTTGAGTTTGAACCAGAAAGTGGCATATCAGCTCTTCAGGGCCCGATTTGGAGTCAATGTGCTTGATACATTAGACCTACATTTAAGAGTCAAGAGAGCTTTTATTAACATTTATTTGACCTTTTTTCCTTTTAAAATAATGCATAATTAAGGTTGTGGTAGATGCTTCACTGCCAAGATGGCGGGTTCCCAATCTGCCCATATTGTACTACCCATCAGCTTGTCTGAAGCATATGGTTAAGATTACAAAGACCATTCCCACAATTAAAAAAGGATTCTCTCAAAACATTTACCACTAACATTGGACCAAATCCAAACCAATTTCCCTCCTCAACACTCCTCCTCATTGCAATCAATATGTGACTTTGTTCAATATTAGCTGCCTGTTGCTCTCTCAAATGTGATCCATCACTCCTTAGTGTCAGGTGAGATCATTCAGCAAACTGATAGACTTCAATGACTTTAGATTGCGGTCTGATGAAGAAACAAATCAAGTGAAAGTCAATACATCTTCCCACTGTTTTCCCCCAGGGACATATGTGACGCAGGTTACAGCCACAGATGCAGACGACCCCACCTATGGAAACAGTGCCAGAGTGGTGTACAGCATCATCCATGGCCAGCCATACTTCTCCGTTGACCCCAAAACAGGTAAAGCACATTCTGATTTATTTGAGGAAATCTTTCAGTCAGTGTAGAGTTCAAATACATCTTCACATTTTCACTTTAAATGTGAAAGTCAACAATAAATACCTGTTTTATGTGCACCTGACAATTGCTGCGAGGCAATTGCGCAGTAAAATAAGGTCATCTCGGCCATTAGGCTTGAATGATTGAGTGTCTTCCAAACATTGTGTGAAATATGCTGCAGTGTGGACCAGTGCAAGCATACATCATGAGAATAAAACGATCCCAGAATTGACCATCGGGCCAATCCACAAATCATGAGGCCATGAAAGGACACATGCTCTCCAATAAAGATGTTGAATTGTTTTTTTAAGGTATGAAGTAAAGGGTCAATTGCATCCGACACTGCATTGATATTAAGCCGTAAAGGTCCTAAAGTAAAATGCTACCCTACCAGATTTAGATTTGACATTTAGGCAATTTGGATTTAGACAAAATATATATATATATATATATTTGTTATTGTTTAAACAGTCAATGCACTCATGCAATTCAAGTAACATGTATTTTCATTTACATTTTCTTCATACTCCTGCCAGTGACTGCAAAAAAGTAGGTATAAAATGTATTTTCATGTTCTTTAAAACTCATAAGTCCAAGTTTTTTTTAACCCTGCAGAAAACCCAATTTTATCTAGAAACATTCAAAAATAATATGAACATTCAGGAGAGTTACTGCAGAGACAGCTAGATAAAACATTTGTAAGTACAGTGGATAGAGAAATGGTTGCTGCTAACTTCATGCGACATATAAAAATGTCAGTTGAGCTTCGAAAACCGACAGACTGTCTCTAACTCAAGAAATAAACTGCATTTCAAATCCCCCATTGTCTGAGTCTATGCTTCACGGACACTGAATCTTCTGGGTTGTGTATAGCTGGCAAACTGTAATATAAGGGAGCTTAAATCGAAAGCAAAAGACAAATAAAACAATATACTGAAGCAATATTTATGAATGCTTGCTGTTTTCTGGTGTAGGCGGTTGGTGTCATGGGAGGTAAATGGTGCTAAAAAGGTTGCAGAGTGGCAGTGACTGCTCTAAATCTGAAATACCTTCAAACCACTAGTGTTTGCCGGCAGTGGGCTGCTGATGGCTTTCCATCTGGGGCAGTTCAAAGCATACGAAAATAGGTTCATACATATCACACTGGCAGATACGAGGGAATCTTTTGCTGATTATGCCGCTCATCCCAGAGCTTCACAGAGCACATACTGCGACTGTATTTCAAAGTGATGCTGGGAAAAAATCAAACTGTTAAAGTAAATGTTTGCACTGCTGGGCCTGCTTCTATCTCCAAACGCACATCGGCAACGGGAACAACTGCTGGGAGAGAAAAAGGTGAGCAATGGAAGGGTGGGAGACACGTAATTCTCCATGTCTGTCGCAGAATTATCGATTTTAGAGATAGACATACCCCTTCTCCAAAAGATGGTGACAGACATGTTGAATGCACACAGTGTGTGGTTTTGCATTCAGACATGTGTGTGGATCAAGTGCTACATCCTCCTCAAGTTAAATAAGAGGAGGGAAAAAGTGCAGACCCACCTAGAGTATGCTGCCCGCTGCCTTTTACCCTGCCAACCTCCAGTGGACCTCGCTATTAATCTGCAGTACAAACGCTCTCTGATCTCAGGGTCTGTGATCCTGAAGTGAATCATTATATGGCTTCACCAGAGCTCCCTATTGAATGTCAAGTGTCTCCAGTTTGTGGAATGACCTCTATTTCAGCCGTGGTTAGAGCAGTGTCTTCCTGGGCAGTCAGCTCCTTAAGGGGGAATATATTAGATTGTCTAACCACTCTATAACCTATGTATCTTGCCAGGTGTTATAAAGACAGCCTTGCCCAATATGGACAGAGAGGTGAAGGAACAGTACCAGGTGTTGATCCAGGCCAAGGACATGGGGGGCCAGCTGGGGGGGCTGGCCGGGACCACCACTATCAACATCACCCTCAGCGACGTCAACGATAATCCACCCAGGTTCTCTAAAAGTGAGTAAATATTTAAAAAATAATTGCAGCATGCCAACACCTACTTTCAAAGCTGACTCACATTTAGCAGGTTCAAACATTGTATGATAACAAAATAAACACTCTGCAATTACAACAGGGCGGGGGGTATTCATCATGTATCATCTTTGTAATTAGGTTTCATTATTTGTCATTATGCTCCGTCGTAAGCAAAGGCCTGTTTATTTAGCTTGATTGCATCTACATGTAATACTCCTGAACGAACGACTGTACTGTAGTATTGCTGTAAATGTGCTCACAGGGCATCCTTCTATATTTAGAGCAGGTTTCTGCTGCATCGGGGATTCAGAGTTTAAACACTCCATGTTCTCCATCCGATATTTTGAATAAGCTGCTAAACCAGATTAATTTGATTGTGCCGTTCACCAGGTCATGTAAAAAGCCAAGCTGGAAAAAAAAAATGCATTACTGTAAACATGTTGATCTGTGAACGCTTTCCTACTTATACTAAGCACACATATTAAATTGAGTTTATTTCATTTTAAATATCAGCTAGTATATGACAGAAAAGGAAAAATAAATACTGTTGTGTATTGATGCAGTCTCTTCAGGTATTGCGAAGTTACAGCGAGTGGTCTCCCCTGAATGTAAATACATGCCGTCAGACGGTCAAGCTACCCTGGCAGCGGGGAAAAGATGATATTTCCATAATGCTGTCACAGCACAGAGGTGGGGGGGCCCTCTGCCCTGTCCCAAATCCTCTTTGTTGTCTTCTCTCTTCCATATTTATAGGCTTACAGGTTAAAAAAAAAGTCTTGCGGCCATATTGGGGAACCTCATCAAAGGATTCTGATAATATTCCAGCATCCTTGCAACATCTGTCCTTTAGTTATTACAGATTAAACATTTGTAAATCCCCTGAATGATCTCTTTTTGTAATGATACCAGATGTGGTTGTAACTGAAATGGTCATTATTAATAGGGGTGTATTAACTGCATGTGGCTTTGTTAAATGATATGCAGTGGGATATAACAGCTGTTTCCTAACTTCTCCTAACCTGCAACTCACCCTTTTTGGCACTGGAGCTGTCCTGCCCTTCAAATGACATCCACTTTTAAATACTGTAAATGTCCTTGAAAGTACTTGATTATGTATTGAAATTCGACCATCTGAATTCACACATATGCCTCAGATTCCCTCTCAAAATCCGAGGATCAAGAGTGAAGGAAATGGTAGATAGCAACACCATGTAGCGTAGGTTTTATCGCAAAAGTATAACATTACATTTGTGCACCAGACAGAAGAATATTTAAAATATTTATCTGTCAAGAATAAAAAGGTTAATTTATTGAAACAGATGGAGGGATAGCCCGGTGGCCTTTACAGGATGTACAAATAATGTCAGCATTTGTCCAAAATCATAATTAATACATCTGAAAGCAAAAGATCACATCAAGACCCATTACCCAAAAACTTAACATCAAAAGATGTAAAAACCAAATTTGTCAGTTCAAACAACAAAATGTCAATGTATTAGGGATGAGGATCTTGTAGAGAGGAGAGGTAGAGGAAAAGCAGGCCAGCGAAGGTCACAGATCAGAATGCAGGTTAACAGACGATGTTGAAGGTGAATTGTTACATCCCACCAGCTCCTGGGTTCAGTGACATTTAAAATACAGCCTGGTTGACCAGAACAAGTCCTCAAAATGGAACTGGGTTTAAATAGCTGGATCAAACTTCCCTTTCCCTTTCAGCAGTTGAGTGAGATCTGAGAAAGACTGGTGTTTGTTTCAGTAGATTAGTTAAATCACCCACAAAATGAATATCCTGTATGCCAACCACCTTCTGTTTTCACCCTGTGCATGCCTTTTAACTAAGACGTTGGATCATTGTACATTGTAATTTTCAAGGTCAAGGTTGATGGATTTATTTGTCAAATAGCACCATCCTCAGAAAGTTTTAAGAGATTCAAACATCCTTCTCTCTTGCACAACACATTTCTAATTTAAAAGGCCAAATAAATGACATTCCATGAAGCGAATAATGTTTTTTTTGAAAACCAATCTTGGCTAATTATTTGTTGCAGCAGTAAAATGTGTCCGGAATATGTTTAATCAAATTGAGGAATTTGTTAAATTAGTGTCAACAAAACAGTGAAGCCAGCCGTGGCGTCAGAAAAGGACTTAGTCTAAAATAGTTGTCGTGTAACCTCTGACATAACACAGTGTTAGAAATAATGGCACATTGCCTACTTGACATTTCGTGACCTGACACGATTCTGAGTATGGAATGGAAGCCCTGAAAACATTCAAATTAATCTGGACACTCTTTTAGTGCCACTGAATTGCCCATGGCACCTCTATGATGCCGCCAGGTGTTCGCAACAGATTTCTAATGCAGCAGTAAATATTATATTTCTCTTCATCAGCAGATTATGTTGTTGCAGATACTAGCTATCTCAAAAAGTAAAAGGGAAAAAGAGAAACAGATTTATTTCCACATATTGTGAGTTGTAAGTGATAATCAATCAATCCGCAGTTTGTTTGCTTGTATATTTATTTCCAAGCCCTCAGCAGTAATTTCTCTCCTGTTGGGAGTATCACAGCCCCTGGCTCTTGTGTTTGTGGATCATACAGGGTTGAGCCCGCCAATTACAACGAGCTGTGTTGCCTTGATGTCCAAGTACGTCCAAATGGAATAATGTCATGCTCATAGCTACAGGGCGGACTTCAGACAGAGCATATCAGCAGCCTGCCTGTGGGCGGATAAGACACATAAAGGACGGAGGATGTGAAGAGCTCTGCGTTTTCCATCCGATGTCAAGTGATGATAATAAATGAATCCGGTCTGATCTTTGTTTGTTTGACAGGTTTCTTTCATCTCCGGGTTCCTGAGTCTTCCGCAGTGGGCTCTGCTGTCGGAAGAATCAAGGCCCATGACTTGGACATCGGGAAAAATGCCGAAGTAGAGTACACCATCGTGCCAGGTGACGGAGGGGCCATGTTCGACATCACCACGAATGAACACAACCAAGAGGGGATCATCATTCTCAAAAGGGTATGGAAGACATTTTTTAAAGTCAGCAAATAGTAGGCTACCGATGACCAGATTAATTTACCAATTTATCCAGTTGTTCTACTTTTTTTAAATGCAACCCTTCCTGTGGATTTTCACATTAAAAGCCAACCAATAAGGGAAAAGTTTCGATGTTAAAAAGTGTTGGAATGCATTGATGGAAGCTTATTAACATGCACACCAACACATAACACTCTCTATTGATTATCTGCTACACAATTCAAATGTATCTTTACAGTACATTGCAGATAACTCCCGAACAGAATGTTTCTACATACAAATGACATGCGTATATGCAAAATGGTTTCCTAAGGGGTCATAAGGCCGAGTGAAGCAGACTTGTCATTCAAGACAAAGCAACACATTGTGCTGCTGTATGTTTTATTCTGCATTTGAAAGCTCTTTCATGCTGGAGAGGCTGTCCAACCCTTCCTTCCTGTTTGTGACAGGGAATGGGAAAAGGGATGTAACACTGGAGAAAAATATGGCAGTTTAGCATTATACAGTATATACACAGTTGTGTACGTGTGGAAGTGTGGGGGGGGTTGTTCCAGCACCCCTAGCATCTTGCACTTCCTGCGAATATGACACTCAGTGTGTTATAATACACCTAGAAGCTCACTTTACATTACATTTTACATTTACACATGTTAAAAATCAATGTTTAAATACATAAAACCATACCAAGTGTGCAGCTCACTGTGTTACACAACGGATGCTGAACCTGTGAGATGCTGCTCTCTTTCTGTTTGTCTCTTGCAGCCGATGCCTAAGAGCAACGCTCCGAGCAAAGGAGTAGCGCTCTCTGAGTGCCTGTGTTATATAAAGCATTAACTCAGCCTGTCAGGCCTCATTTAATATGCCATATGTTCTTTTTGGCTAAATGGATTAATACAGCCAGTGCATAGTGACCAACATCAAGAGGTCTCGGCCTTTGGTTGCACTTCCTCTGAACAACAGTGCAAAGATATCTCATTTTAAAACTACTTTTAGCACGTTTGTAGGGCTATGATATCACTGCACGAAAAAGGGAAGTGTCACGAAAGCACCAGTGATTTATAAAGTATAACTCCAAGGATCTATCATCTCATTTTCAAGGGGGACCTACAACTGCCTGAGGTGAAAGAAAAAGGACATAACAGCCACAGAGTAATGTTAGAAGCAGAATAGATTGACCTGTGTGCTAATCTACTAAATATCCAGGCTCTAATAAGACTTATTATGCAACCAATTATTAACTTAAGCCTATACATACTTGTTTCTCCATTCCAAGATCTAGTTCATTCATACTTTAAATAATATCATGACCGTATGTCCTTAAGATCTGAGGAGTGGATTAACAATTTATGGATATTCATTTCATTTCAAATATACCAATGTGCCGTTTTCTGTGATAATTTCATTAATAACTATTGCAATTTAAAATTATAGGACACGCTTCAGATTTGTTCCATGGAAAAGCCTGTAAGAGAATTCCTTCATCAATCTTAATGTCAGCTTTCTTAATGTATTCATGTTATTTTGGTTTATGAAATCTCATAGTTAAAAGAGGTTAAAGCCCAAACCCACCAAATATAAAGATTATTATTCTCCTCCCTCAGGCTTCACTGTAGAGATATTATTTCTCCTCGGACACTGAAAGCATTCAGCTGGCTGACAGAAGGTGATAATATGCATTTATGAGCAGAGAATAAAAGAGTCTCAGTATCGGCTTATTAAAGTTTCAGGGGACTACACACCTACTTTTAAGATGGTGATAAGCGTTAGTGTGACAAAAAGGGTAGTATTAAGAGCATGGGCGTTATGAAAGCCTCATTAGAATGACAGCTTTCCCATATGTGGTCATATTAATCATGGTGTAAATGCTCTGTAAAGAGGAATCTGGGCTCACAGGTATGATACATTTACTAGTTACTCTGCAGATTGAAATTGTTAAAGAATATATGAAATACAAAAAATCAAAATGATATTAATATAGGTTGAACTACCAGCATCAAATAAATAAAATAATCCCCACAGTCATCAGCTGCAACATTAAAGTTATGTTTAATGCATTATAAATACATAATATAAGATAAATAAGTCTGCATAATGAGTACTTTTATTTTCAGTATTCAAAATGTATTTTCATGCTCATACTGGTGTACTTTTTATTGGAGTTTTACATGAGGGTATATTCCTACTTTGACTTAAGTAAGATATCTGACCATCATCTTCATTTTCATAGTTTACAGACTTCTTTCTGCCATGTATAGAGCGCCGCTCACACTTCCAGCAACGTGCTGTTAAAACACATGTCGTCAGTATCACTAACTGCTGGCAATTGTTTGGCTCAGTGTTTCGGAAACGTGTCATGTTACAGTAAGGACCATGATAATGGGAATGTGATCAAAGTTATTTGATCTTATATACGGGTATATACGGGAGCTGGACATGCCGGATGTCTCTGTGCAATAGGGTGGTGGACCTGCGGTGTTAAACTGTGATTAGTGGGCGACTGACTGACCAACAAGTGCTAGGTTTTTTATTTGTTTTTTATTTGATCCATTTATACACATTGTTTGATCTCTACTTTTGCATTATGTTATTAATAATGGAGTTAGACTCAGAGCCTTTAGATTTAGTTTTTTTGTTGTTGATTTTTGTCCTGCAGTCCATTTTGTTTTGTTTCATTTATTGTTTTGTCTTTGTTTTGTATCCTGTCGGACTCGAATCACATTGTTGTCATCCTAATTTGTTTGCCAACTGCTATTGTGCTGTCTGTCTGACTGTTAGTTTATAAAAAACATTAAATAAAAAGTAAAAAAAAAAAAAAAAGTTATTTGATCTTCACCCCAAACTACACATATGCAAGTCATTATCATACTCATGCAGGAACACATGCACACAGATATGCTTTCAGCCTTCTCCCATAATCCCCTGCACATCGATCCCTTCATACCTGGTGCTGCGTTTCCCTTTGGCAGGATGCAACAGACCCCTGCGGTGAGTTTAGATGCCCTTTGTTGTCAGTGCTGTTGAGGTTCAATGGAAGCAAAAAAAAAGACTGCAGAGCAAAGCCACGTTTGCATAATGCAAGAGCCATAGCATGTCTCTTTGATATGATGTAGGGAAAATCTATTTAAAGTCAGAAAGATATTTATGAGAGATGCTCTGATTTATGGAGGAAATGAATTGCTTACCTGGATTGTTCTGTATGTTGGAACATTGGCACTTAAGGAGAACTGTATGATATCCTTAATATATATAATACATTGATTAAGGCATCATACAATATCTTATGTGAAAAAAGTTCCAACTCTACTGAAACTAATTCTGTCCCACATTCATGTCAGCAATGACCATTATGTTGAATGTTAGAACAGAACAGTATCAATTACTCACAACTAAAACTTTGAAAAACAGATTCCTCTAACATTTTGCAGCTGTTAAAGCAAATTCATTATTAAAGAATTAAAAGAGTCGGTTTCACATTAAATCCTGCCTCTTTCATGTAAATTCACCTCAACAAAATACCCGTAAGAAATGGTAATCTTTTTTTGTCACTTCTTTCAGTTCGGGGATAACGCATATGTTTCGTCTGATTTCTCGCCAGACAATTCTATCTGTCCATGCACCTTCCAGGGTATTTCTGATCTAAGTGTGTAAAATGTTTCCGGGGGAAATGCAAATCTGAATTTGTTTTTCTGACGTATCACACTTGGGTATTTGCTAACCGGTACATTTTTAGTACAAGCCCCAGCAAACACCAAGGTGTGATCCTTTGATCCCAGAAAAATATGCCGCTGAGGGAGTAATTGATTCCCTGCTCGGTGTTAGCGCTGCTCAGGATGCGCTGTGCACGTGTATGCAAACCCCATATCATGCTTACATATATGTACCTACTGTTCTCAAAGGCATGTCAATAGATCATTTTAAAGTGACCTTCTCATTGACACTAATGGAATAACCAAATGAGGCAGGATGCAATTATGGTTTACATGTATAGCCTCAATGGATGGGGATGCATCTCGTGTTTATTGTTTTCACTTGTGGTGTTTGATTTACTGCCATATAACACAGGGGCAGTGTGATGGATTCCCTACAGTGGTAAGCTACTGCACAAAGGCATTGTTGATGGGGGACGTTCTTATCCCCTTTACCTGCCCAGGCTCCCCCACAGTGTAATGCACTAAACAACACGTGCTTCTGCCCATGTGGGGTAGTGATAGGACAGAGTGAGAAACAGAGGAGAGAGGGATGAGCTGTGCTTGGGAAAGGTGTGGGGAGCTAGAGATGAAGCTTTATGAGTTGTTCACTGTGTTCCCAGAATACTGACCCGCCCACAGACTTGTCTTATTTCACATTGGTGGAATATCCCTAGAGACAGGTGTGCAAATGTGTGCAGACAATCCCTCTCGCTTCCCTCTCTCCCCCCCCTCTGCCTCTGTCTCTTTCTTTCCCTTTTGACTTCGACTCCAATGCAGCAACGTCGACAAATCGCAGCAGGACAGAGTGGAAAGCCACATTGTACACAGAGCAGAGTTTGGCAGACCCCAAATTAGAGACTCAGGAAGGTTGGTTATGATAAGAGGATCAGGCTGAGTAATGGGTACAAGGGATGATCATCTATTTCCCAGTCTGACGATACAGGGGGGAGAGGAAAATGAAGGGGGTTTGCACATCCCATCTGCAAAACATAGGATTACGGGAGACAATAGGTAAATCCACCGATGAATTCAGACAGAAACGTTCAGACAAGCACACAGCTTTACATACAGTATGAGGAGCCCACACACACATCGGCAAGATAACCTTGTGTTGGTAAAAAATACTTTTAGTCAGATTAAATGCCCACTCTCTTGTTTATTTACCTCCTCCTGTGAGATGAGGGGATGGCGGTTATGTGTAATTGAAATATGCTGTTCTAGGCCTAGAGGAACGGCATTGTTCACCATGTGTGGCATAATATTTACTGGCTCATATTCAGGGAATCCATTTTA